CCGTTGGCTCCGCCCTACTAAGGCCCCGCCCCTTGCATAGTGCTGGCCGGGTCCCTCACACCGTACTGGCCTCGCCCACCAGGGCCCCACCCCTTTCACCTTACTGACCCCGCCCCTCCAATGCCCCGCCCCTTACATAGTGCTGGCTCTACTTGGTTCCCACCGAGGCCCCGCCCCCATCGTACTGACTCCGCCCCCCTCGTTCCCCTCCGGAAGCGGCGGGGGCTGGGCCGGTGGCTCAGGGGTAGCGCGCTCGCCTCGCATGCACGAGGCCTTGGGTTCGATTCCTCAGCACCACATAAAGCCAGAAGTGGCGCTGTGGTTCAAGTGGTAGAGCGCTCGCCTGGCGATGAAGAGCTGAGGGCAGCGCCCAGGCCCAGAGTTCAAGCCCCACGACCGACCAAAGAAACCTCACAAGTCGTTTCTGTATCCTCAAAACCTCCCCCCACCTTGAGTGGCGGCTCCATGACTCAAGGTCAGAGCACAGCAAAATGTCACCGTAGCTTGAGAAACTCCCCGAGTCAACTCCATATTGCCAAAATCTTTCATTCAGATGGATACCACCCGGCCTATCTTATTCTGTCAATAAAGCTCACTATAATCACACCAGGCTGTTGAAAAGTGGCATGCCAGAGACATGACAGGTATTTTTAGGTCCCAACTCATGTAACTCCAGCCACTTTGCGTGGTGGTGCAGAGCCTCTGGCCGCTGGTTAATTGATAGGGCATGTTTTCCGCAGGCCCTCAAAGGAGCAAAATACATTCATGACAGCGTTCTCCCTGCATGTGCAATCCAGTGGAGAAATTTGAGAATTAAAAATAAAAAGATTATAGGGAAAAGATCATCATAATGATTTCACACAAATTCACCTTTAAAGACATCATCACAGGGGCTGGGGAGGTGGCTCGGTGGTAGAACACTTGCCTTGCATGCATGAGGCCCTGGGTTCAATCCCTCAGCACCACATAAGCAGAAAAAGCTGGAAGTGGCGCTGTGGCTCAAGTGGAAGAGCGCTAGCCTTGAGCTCGAGGGACAGCGCCCAGGCCCAGAGTTGAGGCCTTAAGACTGACAAAAAGAAAAAGACATTATCACAATAGGTAATTCTGGAAAAGGGGCTTAGGCTGAATCTAGAAGTTTCAATCCCATTGCTATTTTATTAGACCACTGGACAAGACAATGAAATGTTATAAGGAGTGAGAAATCAGAAATAATCAACTCAAGATCCATTTCCAAGAATCCCCTGCCCTAGTTCATTAACCTGTGTCTGTCCATTGTTCTGTTTAAGTCTTATATTCTATAGCAGAGAAGAGTCAGGAGAAAGCAAATAGCAGTCAACAAATCTCCCTGAGTTTTCTTTTTTTTGGGGGGGGGGTCTGGTTGTGGGGCCTGAACTCTGGGCCTGGGCACTGTCCCTCAGCTGTTCAGCTCAAGGCTAGCGCTCTACCACTTGAGCCACAGTGCCACTTCCGGCTTTT